GGTTTTTAAATGCATATTTAACTGATTATGTATCTTAATTTCCGCGTTCCTCTATAGTAGACTAATAAAGTGTTTTCCTGTTGGTTGACCTGTTAGCAACTGTTTGCGAGACATAACATATATATTATATCAGTTACGAATATGCTTCTCAGTATTCGGCGACTTCTCGGGCAAATAAGATCACAGTTTGATTTATATACCTTTTGCATTCGGATTTGATTATAAAGTGATGTTAGTTGTATTATTCTTACAAAATTTTTACGCAGTATTCTAATTGACAATTTTAATATACGTAGGTAAGTGACAAGAAACGAAGTATTTCTAATTCAAAATATAGAAAAATTTATAAAGCATGATAAATACAACTTTATTTTGAAAAACCTCTTTCTGAATAAGTAACTGTATTACATATTTTTTTTAACTTTTACATTTTTTACTTAATACAGCATGAACCTTTTCATGTTTAATAATTAATTATCATTTCTGCGAAGTGAAAATTAATTCTGCGCGCGCGCGCGCGCGTGTGTGTGTGTGTGGGCGCGCGTATGCAGCTTGCTTGCATATACAGTACACTCTTGTATAACATGTGTGACGTGACGCTTTTCGAGCGCCGTCACAAGGGCGATGACCCGGCCGAGGGAGCAAAGAGTCCTGGTGTTGCTCCTCGCGTGCGTATTTTGTGTCTCTCACACAATTAACCATAGTTCTGATACCGTGAGCGCTCAATTACGCTCAATTACCGCATGTCCAGCCGGCTCCGGATAGCGCGTAAAAAGTCTCTCCGACTTGCGGGAATTAAGTGCCGACAGTCTCTTCTCGTTACCGTTTCGTTTGTCGTTCGTCTTGTTATCGTACCGTTCTACCGTTACCGTTCTTTCGAAGATACCGATTGCTACCGTCGTTCCGTTACCGTTTCTTTTGAAACCGATTATTACCGTCTTTTGGTCGCGTTAGTACCGTACCGTGGGTGAATGTTCGCGGGCGGATTTTGATTCGGGAACGTTCTCCGCGAGACTGCTGTTACCGCAAAGTTAGCGTCTCGGCGAGAAGCGTGAGAGCCCGCGAAAAATAGCCGACCCGCGACATATCCTTTCTGGCCGTTAGGCTACCGTCGTTTAACGTCTATTTATTTGGCCTTCACCGGCCGTATCGGATGATCAAAATATAAGTCCTTCGTTGGCTGTATATAGTCGGATCAGCGGCGAATTATCGTAATCACGTTCCCGAGATTTGATGTAGGCATCGAACTCGATTCTCGTTACCGAATTTATAGGGCGAAGGGCCCTACTATCGTATCAACCTATTTCCGCCGTATCGGCTCCGGCCGAATAGTTTAAGCATCTTCACCCTTGTAAACTAAATCACTGAAATACATCATTGTTAACTGTTAATTATTGAGTTATCCTTGCGTTAGCCTCTCACTCCAGATATCTAACGTTAAGTAAAAGAACTGCGCCCTCTGCCATATACTGAGCGGGGAGCGGCCGAGCAATTTTGAGAACTGTTAAAGTTACCGATACCGCGGTGCGATTACTCGCACCTGGCGCCCATTTCCGGTTACCGATATCGCGTGAGTTACCTTGCTCCCGAATTTTGTGGAGTACCGCAAGTTACCGAATCGTGCAGTTATTGCCGATTTCGCGAGTTACCTTGCTCCCGACGAGCGTGGAGTACCGCGAGTTACCGAATCGAACATCTGCTTCCGATACCGTAAGTTACCGAATCGAGCATTTATTGCCGATACCGCGAGCTACCGATTTCCATTGGGCGTGCTCCCTCGGATCTGGCGTGATTCCGAGGCCAGTTCACGTCGCAA